CTACAAATTAGACATTATTCCTCGTAGGAACGATATTCTTAACTCACAAATCTTATTACTTGTACAACGATCCCGTACGTTTGCGGGTTTCACGCGAATACATGTTCTTCGATTTCTACATAATTTTTTCGCGCGGTTTACTCGCTAACAATTAAAAAGGGATCAGACGATTGTGTAAGGGACAAACCTCTTGGAACAAAGTCCCAAAAATAGGTGTTTATTGAATATGAAGATTACAGTTTGAACACGAACAAGATGCTTCCAAGGGGCGCAAGCACACAAGTACGAGGGAATTGAAATAATTAAAGTTAATCTAAGAAAAAGTAAATTACATATTATCTGTTTGAGAGTGAATTTTGTCGGGGTTATCTTCGTTGTCTTCTTCTTTCTTTTATACTGTTTGGACAGTTTTTAATCGTTTAGAAACTGCTTGAAACCACCCATTTTCTTTATCATGGCCAACATGTCAAAAACTGCCGTTTATAACTGTCACCACACGACTCCATACCATTGAGATTCTTAGATCGTGGATGTGGCATGAACTGCTTGAAACCGTTGCCTTGGATAATGACAGGACGTTGTCTTCACTGAGACTTTGGGCGACTTAATCGTTTGGGCGATGATGGACTCATAGCTCTTGGGCGACTACAGGGTATTCTATTCGCTCAGGCTCTGGGCGTTCTGCAAGTTTGGGCAAAAGCGTTACTTTGCTTGTGGGCTTCCATGTCATTTGTCCACACTCTTATCTGGGCTTTCGCACTGGACCTTCAATTGGGCTTCGCTCTTTGGCCCTTTTAATTGAACTGCACTTTTTGTGTGTCAACAATTACCTTCCAAATGTGTGTAGTGGAAAGGTTCCACATACTCTTTCCTCAAGTCTTGCAAATAAGCAATAAACGTGTTGTTTATGCTGGTTTATTTTTAATGCTGACCAAACCTTTTATTTATTGTTTATCTTTGAGTAATTAGCACATAACGTTATCATATTTCATTGTTATTGTGGAAAACGTCCATAATTTTTATTTTTTGACATTTTCACCTTTATTTCCACATTTCATTGCGCAAAATGTCATTTTCTTTCATTTTTTCAATTAAAAATTGTGAAATTCCTTTAAATAAAACAAAAGAAAAAAGAGAAAAACTAATTGCAATCATAGTCCCAATTTCTTTTAAAAGCACAAATGAGTCTCAAATAAATTATTAAAATGGTAATTAGTACATAATGTCCCTATCTTTCATATTTATTGAGAAAAACGTCTATACCTTTCATTTTTTTGGCATTTTCGCCCTTAACTACACATTTGATTGTGCAAACCATCATTTCCATCCATTTCCATCCAATTTCTCAATAAAAATTAAAAGTTACTTTTGAAATAATTTTTGAAATTATCTTATCTAGTTAGAAGAGTTTTTAGAGGAAATTGATCTAAATTTGCTTTCTCAAAAAGTTCTTCCACAAAAAGAAGCAGCAAAAAATAGAAATCTTGTCAAACAAGTCCTTATTACATTATAACTATAAAGAAATATCATCATTTTTTAATATAATAATTTTAAAATGAATTATGTCTTTTAGTTCAATTAGTTTTTTATTTTTTGTTGACGTAGGAACCGCAGTCGCTATCCGTCAGCGGAGCCCCGACCACTATGAGTGCGCACTAGATAAATTCCGCTCTATGTATAGTAGCCCGCGAACCACACGGGAGAAGTAAACTGCACTAGACAAGCCCGGTGTGACGGACTCAACCAAGAAAATGTTGGTAGAAGATTCGAACTCTTGACATTTGATATTCGTATTCACCTGCTCCATATAATCAAATAAGAAAATTGAGCCTATGTTTGGTTAAATTTACAAATTGCTTATAATTGATAGAATCATTTTTTATTCACAAATTTCGTGGACAAATATTTATTAGTCACTTATCTATCTATTTTTCATTTAAACGGTTTATAAACACTTTCCAAATTAGTGTCATTCTATCATATAAAGTCACCATTTCCACGCCATGTGAACTCTCTACTAAATTGAGAAAATATTTAAAAATAAAATTTCAAGAATGGGTAGTTTAGAGTATGTTTGACAAAGGTTTTGCTGATTGTAAGTTGATTAAACATTACTTCTATTGCACATATTCCGTAGGAATGAGCACAATTTTTATTTATTTTTTATCAAAAAGTTTCATAGAACTCACAAACTTATAATCTACATAAAACTTGCTAAACATACGCTACGAAAATTCAATAATTCACTCTCACAACGCTAGGCTTCTTCATGTCAAATCTAAACATGATACCTCTTTTTAACTTCAAAAAACTTGAAAGTAACCGAATGTAATATAGTAAATCTTATACAAGCATATATAAATACAACCACTCTTCTCAGCAACTAGAACGATCAGTATTAGTTTTAGTACTCATATTCTATAAATATCACGTCACTCATAATCTTGTGAATGGAATTATATTTGTATGATTCAAATACGTTCAATTGAAAGTAAAAAAGTTGGTGTAGTTTAAAATTTCAATTTTCTTCGATTTCTACAAAATACTCAAATGTGTATAGTGGAAAGGTTCCGCATAGACTCTTTCCTCAAGCCTTGCAAATAAGCAATAAATGCGTTGTTTATGTTGGTTTATTTTTAATGCTGAGATAAGTCATTCCAAACATACTTTAGATCAAATTAAAGATCGAAAAATGTGTCTTTCTGTTTAGCTATCTATCTATATCGATAGAACTTCCCTCATAATATCCATATTGATGTGTGCCACTTGGCTAGCCAATGAGATTGATTTCTTATCAAAGTAGACGGTTTGATTCAGTTCTCATGTCATATAGTTAGTTGTTTGTTAACAGGTTAGGGTTGGAATTGGGTCCCCCATAACATGCAATGGTTGTTTAAGATCTACCTAGAATGTGTTTAAAACTTTATTTTCCATAAATAATGTCCCTTTTTCACCCATATTCATACTTTGAGGTATTTAATTGACAATTTTTTTCATTAAAAATGTTTTTCAACTTTTGCCTTTTGGTTATATGACCATATTTTTCTAAAAAATAAGGAAAACATTTTCTTTAAATAATGATGATTTTATTTTTTCAGGTAATTCACTCTCACTTTCTCACGTATCAATTCTCTCTCATTTACTAACTAATAAAAAATGAATAAATATAATATTTTTTAAGTTGAAAACTAAATCAATCAATCACATTTAATTAATAATTTCCATACAAATAATTTCTAGGCTATCAAATTGCCTATAATTTATTTTCTTTCTATACAAATTTCATTATCGCAACCAAACGCACATTTTGGATAGTAGATAATTACATTTTTTACAAATCTTCTAATTACATTTTTATACTTCTAATTACATTTGGATAATAGATAATATTATAAAGCATAATATTTTCTTATAAAAAAATTATTTTTAAATATACGTCAAATAATTATTTTTTCTTGTAGAATTTTGGTGATGCAGATTAAACGTACATAAAGTTTTCATAAATTAAGATATAACAAGTTTATTCTCATAATTAATCAAATAAATTCTTAAAATTATCCCGGAAAATGCAAAATGCTAATTATAATCGTGAGGGACCAAATGCTTGTAGCTAAAATCTATGTTTGATGAAGGTTTATGCTGCCACAGTCGAGCCGTTCCTTCAACAAAATAAACCATTTCTTTGGACTGGTGCAGGCAAATGATCGAGGGTGCCAAACGTTTTGATAATCGAACATTCTGGTAATGTTCACCAGTTCAAACAATTTCCGAAGAGGAACAAACCTCATTTTCTTTCCAGGGGAAATGAGGGAGCGAAAAAGGGCCGCGCATCAAAATTCCTGTTCCAACAAAGTTCAGAATCAAGGGTTGGTTCTTCTCGATCGGTTCGAAGTTCAGAATCGAGCCTTTCATTTCACTTCCCGACTTCTTACACCACACCCATCCTCATCCAGAGCAATGACGTGTCCCCTCTTTCGACTGGATATCTAATGTTGCATAATTCCATCAAATTTAGCGTTTACAACAAGAAAGGGGGGGAACGTGAATATCATAATCGCAATCAATATCCACTTGAATTTACAATCAAGGAGCAGCCATGAGTCATTAAGCTGTAGGACCTTACCATTACATCATTTACAGACTATTTTAGTTTGGCAAAGACTTCTCATTCCAAGCCAAATTTCTCCACATCTTACCTACTATGTGCACACCACCTCCAATGGGAAAATAACCAGCACAGAGTTTAAGAACATGACTTTGACAAAGTCATTTCTAAAAAACTTCCAAAACTTGGGGAAGGAAAGCAGACACGGATATATGATGTTGTCACGATTAGGAGCTGAGTTTTTTAAAACTTTATCCCATCTTGGGTAGATTAGAATAGAATATACACAAATGTTCAAGGTGTAGGATATACATACAAATATATGCCTTACATGGAACGTGTAACTTTTTTATTTATTCATTTTCCTTTCAAGAGCAAGAATGACATAATTCACATTAAATAAAAATTGAATTCCTACCAAGTCTACATATGATTTCTAGATGAAGCTTCAGGGCAAGTTGGAACACCTTCAAAGGACATAAGAAGAGGTCAAGGGTAAAAGACCGATTCTTTAATATCATGAAACTTCAATAGAATAGAATAATTAAACCAAAAACAGGAAAGAAAAACTAGAGTTGAAGCCATGACCATAAAAAATTACAATGATCTTATCGGTATCCAATTCTGGTGGTATTCAATAGCACATCAAAATTCTACACACAATTCTTATTCCAAGTGGCTTTATCTTAGCCTCTGTTTGAGTCACATTAAAATTTTCATTCTCATTCAGTCATTCTTCTACTCATTTTCAACCACACATTCTTCAATAAAATAATATTTTTCATCGCATCAATAACTTTTTTTTCTTTTTCAACCACATATTCCTCATCACATCAAATAAAAAAATACATTCTTTAACTCAAAATGTGCATCAAACAGGGGCTAAGTGTGTGTTTAAGTCACATTATTTTGGAATAATAGATTAATGGAAAATGTGTGTTTGAAAAAAAAGGAAAAGACATTGATGTGATGGAAAATATTATTTTATTAAAAAATGTGTGGTTGAAAATAAGTACAAGAATGACTGAATGAGAATGAAAATTTTAACGTGGCTCAAACAGGAGATTTAATCCCTTATTTCATCATCAACAGTATTCAGAATTGGTTAAGTTAATCTGCACGAAAATGATTATCCTAAGATCATTTATGAACATGGGCGAGTTCATATTCGTGACTGGATTCAGTATTGATTGAATTATCAAATTGGAGATAATGATATCCTATGAATTCTTATGAACAGAGGAAAGAATCAAAAAATATTTATCATGTTTCAAGGAACTAAATAAGCTGCAAATATTTTTTAGCTAAAACATAGTTTTGCAGAGTCGGCAAGCAAGGAAAAAATCAATTATAAAAGCAAATTCCATTCTATTGAAAATGAAACTCTTAAAATTATCAAATTCATATTTACAACTGCCATTTATAATATATCAAAGAACAAGGATTCAGGAACCAATTCTTTGAGATGAGTATGAAGCAGCACGAAAGAGAAAAGGTTACACAAAGGCTAAATACGCTTATTCTTCCTTCACCTTTACAAGTTACTGCAGATAATACCTTCAAATGCCAGCGAAAATTTTGGAAGTGAAGCACAGACTATCCTTTATTGCATGATTTGCATCTATCCCTGCATACAGCATAGTGATTCTTGATAAGAAATCAATCAAACTAACACGACAATTATGTAACCGAACCCGATTAACATTATTCAAGACTGACCTTTAAATAAGTTTCAGATGGTGTATGAATCAGGAGTTATTGATGTCAACCACAATCCAGGAAACAGACACTGCAAGTAAAATTAAGGGAACTGAATAATTCAATAAAAAGGAAAGGAAAATTTTGGACCTGGAACAATTTTAACAAATCAAAGATTATATTCTCTCTTACATCGAGATGTTTCTGGATGTTTTTTTCTCTCTTCTTAGGCCTCCTCGTCGGCTTTGATCCAGTCAAAATGAAAACATCCTCCTCGATCTCCTCTTTTGAAAGTGCGATCCAAAGGCTCAGCTTCCTCTTCTCCTTCTTTTGACCACAACCACCATTTGCTTCATTCTCTCCCAATCTATTACTTGAATTCCTTAACAGTGAATGAGTTTTCTTATCTTCCATTGCCGACCCGTTAATCTTTCCGGTCAATCCATTAAGAGACTTGCAGATTGGTTTTCGGGGTCTCAAATTCCATGTCTTGGGTTCTTCTTCATTATTATGCATATTACCCTCCTCATCATTAACATCACCATCATCGTCGAGATTATTGTTGATCTTTTGTAGTTCCTCTTGCTGATTTTCAACCGATTCATTTTCGCGCAAGATTCTCGATCTCTTTGCACTTGCATCAGTTCCTCCTGCCTTCCGTTTTTTCTCTGATTTCTGAATAGCTCGATCAAGAATAGTCACGTAAAGCCCGTTTCTATTATTTTCAGTTGCCGAATCCCTCACGTGATTCCCGTGGTACATCAAAATACTTTTATTAGTCCTGGAAGCCTCGGATTCGAGAGCTAAATTGTGTTTCGGAGATTGTTTCACTGAGTCCCCAGACATCGGATACTGCCTCACCGAATAGCGAAGAGGAGATTCACCGCGCAAAGGAGAGTGCTTCATTAAATCATCACAAACTGGTGACGATTCGGCCTGTTGCGACTGCACCAGTATAGCCAAAGCAGAATTGCGCAGAGGAGACTGGCGGGGTGGCTCTCGAAGCGGAGAACCGGAGGATGAATGAGATTCGCACGAAGGAGACTTGATCGAGCATCGGCGGCGACGGCCGCGGCCGTTGGAGTGGTTATGGTTGTGGTTGTCCTTGTTCCATTTCAGACGGGGCAAGGAAAAGTTGTGCAGCGCCGGAGACTTGACCGGAGCCATAGAAGCCATAAAAAATCCAAACGAAATTCCGATTGCAGTTAATAATAGGTATAGATTATCAAATATTTATTTGTAGAGGTCGGGGGGGGGGGGGGGGGGG